GTGCAAATACATCTGTGTTTATAGGATATGGGATTGCCATGGAGGGGTGACCAGACAGGTACTTATTGAGTAACCTGACAGCCTGCCACTCAAGTCACACTGAACTATTTTCTCAACAGACTACAGGGCCATGAAAGAGCACCAGTGATTTTCTATCCATCTCAACTCACTAACTTCATGAGCATCCTGTGCCCTCAGCTCTCTTGTAATCCTTCTATTTTGTTATCCATGGAACAGATTTTCATCTGGGAGAATATTTACTTCTTTTCAGTTTCCATTCTGTTCTGCCATCAGTGGAAGGTTGTTTTAGAGACACTGCCATGTGGATTGTCCCTGGCAAAAAAATAAAAATAAAAATAAATTAAAAACAGCCTCACCCATCTCAAAGCAACTCCTATTTCTAACTTGGTCTCCAGAACACATTCATGAAGTCTCTTCACAGATGACATCAAACTGGAACTGAGAGGGAGTCTCTCAGAGATGAATTGCTGTTGAGAGTCAGTGTGGTAAAATTGCATTACAAAAAACAAAAAAGAATCACAAAGAACCCTGTTTTTATTCTAGCACTGAAATAATTCACCCTGGGACATGTAATAAAGTTATTTCAACTTATTAAGCCTCAGTTTCCTCATTAAGAAAATGAGGTATTAGACTAAATTATGGATACAGAGCCTGCCAATTCGTAAATTTTGCCCTTGATTTTCTAACTTGAACTCAGTTAACCAGCCCCCACTTCCAGGAATCTATTCTAAGGAAATAATCCAAGGTCTAACCAAAAATTTATATGCAAAGATACATTGCTTATAATTAGAAACCTGTAAAAGACTAAATATATATTAATAATAAAGGATGATAACATTTTATGCAACCATTAAAAAGTATTTTCAAAGAATGTATACCATATTGTGCTTATTTTACATGTCTTTAAGTAAAAAGGCAATATCCAAAATAATTCAGAATTGTTACTATGTAAAGAAATACATCGAAGTGCTGAAATTGGTTGCTTCTGACAGTTGATCATAAGTGTTTTCCATGTCATTTCATAAATCTTTTCTGTATTTTTCAGCTTCTCTATAATGAGCATGTAGCCATATCTTTTACTGAGAATATGGACAAAAAGTGCGACTTTATATTATTAAATTTAAAAACCAAGTACATTTTTTCAGTAAAGATAAATTCACAATATAACTATATAATTAAGAATTTTAAATAAATGAAACACTACAAAAGCAGAGGTTTGTAACTACATTCCCATAAATGATAGGACATCATGACTCAGGGTTAACAGTAGGTTATCTGTAAGATATGTAGACATCAATTTCCTGGTGTTGTTTGAAAATGTAATTTCTGTGATATGTCCACCATAGAAAAACATAAAGAAATCCTTATTATTTGTAGCCCCATTATTATAATTCAAAAGAAAAGTGCGTGTTTTGAAACATCTTGAGAGTAAAATAGAATATCTTGATATTAAGTTATATAAACTGGGTTACAATTTATATAGGGGTTGCAACAGCCTTGTTCTTTCATAAGAAATTTTTATGAATAGAATAGATACTAATCTGATTAATATTTTTTAGGTCAGCTGCTTGAAGTGGCACAAGAAACTATGCACTTGCAAAAAGTGTTCAGTAGATCACAATCTTTTATTGTAACCGTTAACAACTTTTCTTATTTAATTTAAACCAGCACCTTAGCAATAAAGCACTTTGTGGTATTAAGAAAAATAATAATAATTTTAAAATGTGATGTGAAAAATGACCTTTGCAGAGGCTCAAATCGTTTTTGTTTTAGTTTCGTTAACATTGGCAGGCAGTGTTTTTTTTTTTTGGCAGGGGGGATAGCCAGGCTTTTTAATCTAAGCTGGTGACCTCTGAGTCAGTGTTGTTACCTTGAGTTTGTGAGAAATTAGGTGCCTTCACATCTAAAGAGTGGGCAATGAGCAAATAATCTCTAAGCTCTCTCCTGTCTCAAGGGAACCAGGGTTTGACAAATCGACTTTCTGGGGTACATCCTGAAGCATTATCATCTATGTCTCAAAAATGGTTTCTTTCTAGGTGATTGAATTCTTCATATGAAATTAAGTGGGCCACACCAGCACAGATTATGTCACATATTTTGTTTGCACTGAGAGAGAGGTTAATTTTAATATTTAGCAAAAGGAGATTTGAAACTTTGAGCAACTAACTATACTGGTATGTCTTCCATTAAGTGAAAAGTCAATATTCAAACTTCCCTAGTGGTTAAAGAAGGACGCAACCGAATTGCTTTAATATCTGACAAAGGATATTTGCCAATCATATTAAATCCACCAGTGGTAGTGTACCTTAACTAGGTGAATAATAGGCGCTTACATTTACAAAATGAAGATTTAGATACTTGACCACATAACCAATCTGTATGGGGAAAAAAATGTGCAAGGTCAACACTCCTAACAAACGCAAGTAGTGAAAGTCTCTCTCCAGCCAGCCACATGAGAATAGTTATGAATTATTCAAATTGGGGTTCTATTAGTCTCTCCTTCCTCAACTGTTCTGAAGAGGATTAGGAAGTGCTAATTTTCCAGTGTAGCTGCTTCTTGCCTTTTTGCCTGGTCTGCCTCACATATTTTATAGGATTGTATCATCTTGAGTCCCCACACTTAAGAATTTTTCAGGGTTGGAGCAAAGCCAAAGCTATTTTAATCATCTCAACTGATTTGTTGTAGGGCTTTTCTTTTCTTTTCTTTCCTTTCTTTCTTTCTTTTTTTCATGATAGATAAATCTTGCAAGGTGCAACATTCATGTTATTCTTTCTGGTAACTTCCTGCAATGAAAGTTGTCTTTGTTTTGTTTTGTTTTTTTAATGCCACAGGCTTTTTTAACCCCTGGCTGCTGCTTTGTGCCATAGTCTTCAAAGGGATTTTAATGCTAATTTTCCTGTGCCATTGGCTTTAGTGTCAGGTAATTTCCTGAATTAGATGACTGTGGAGAAAAACAGGTAAAAGTCTACACTGTTACAGCAAGTTACAATACTTGTGACAGATCAAGGTGACCTTTTAAAGACTATGGTTTATCCAATAGTGGTTAATTATTAAAAATATAATCTATGTGTATAATTTCTATTCTGAGGTCCTTTAGGATGGAGGTTCTTTATACCCCACCTTAATTTGAAAAGAAATGTCACTAACAAATAATACATATACAATTTTTCTAGAGTCCAGTCTCAATACTGCAATGAACTACTTTACTTAATTTGTTTTTCTTTCATAGATGGAAAAAAATTGACTATCAAGTTTAACACTCTTCTACAGTCCGTTTTGTACTAGGAATATGTGTACACTTGGGACTAATCAGTCAGTCACTTCTAGTTGGTTTGTAGGAAGGAGCAAGCAACCCTGGCTATTTGCCTGAAGTGATCACTATATTTACGCTGTGTAGTTATCCAAACCAATTTAATGAAGCATATGACTGATAATGCATATCTTGTTGGAAATGAGTTTCACCAAGAAATGGAAGTCAAATGCCAGTCAGCTTTCTCATTGTGCCTCTTGTTCAAAATTCATAAACACATGTCCTAAATAATAACAGAAAGTATTGAGCACTTTTTAAGCTCAGTGTTTGGTACATTCTTTGGGTTATCTCATTTAATCCTTTTTTGCAACTCTTGAGGAATTTTGCAAAAGAGTAAACAGGTTTAGAGAGGTGATACAATCCATCCAAGATCACAAAAGCAGAATGGAGGAGAGCTGGGTTTCAAATCCACATCTGCTTAACTCTGCAGGTGCTCTTGATAGTCCTCTCCCTGCCTTCCTTTGCCATGTTGTACGTTAAGCAGAATCCTGTGCAGATCCCTGAAGGGCTGAACCACAACAAGGCATGCTGTGAACATAGTCCTGGAGGAGCTGAGGCTTCCTCCAGTCTTTCATTCCCTTCTTTATCCATTCAAGTAGTAGCCCTATCTATCTAATGCCAAATCTTTTGCTGGTGGCTTGGTATAAAAACATGAATAAGACAATATTCCTCTTCCTCAGGGAGTCTGTGTCTAAAAAGAGAAGATAGATATGTAAACAAATTATGAAATATGAGCTAAATTTGGGAAATAAGCAGGCTGTACAAGCAGCAGAGTAAAAATATGAGGCCAGAGGGACAAAGTAGTGACCCACCGGAGGCCTGGGTCACCAGCTGGTGAATGTGTCCTGGTGGGAGGAAGGACTGTGCTGACATGAGGGGCAGCTCCAGTCGCTGGGACTCCCTCTGCCTTTCCTTAAAGAACTGGTAGTAAGTGGAAGGTGATGTCTTAAATCTTAACTACACAGCCATAGACTCCCTTCTGGGGAGTCCTGGGATTGTTCAGAGTTCATATCGTTCCAACTCCAAGACCCCTGCTCTTAATATTGAACCCCCCCAAATATAGCTTGGCTAATTCTAGCAGACTGTGTCGCCACAGAACTACATCTCTGAACCATTTAAATAGAACTGAAATCTAATCTGCTTAAATAACAGTTAAACACAGGGTTTTGATGAAAAGAAAATGGAGAATTTTACCTCCCACATCCAAGCTGTGATTAGAAGTTTGCTCTAGAAAAAAGCACTTTGAGACTAGCCCTTGGTACACTGATGTAGTGTTTTGAGCATCTGTGTTTACTGAATAATTTAATGTATTTTTTTATGTTTTTAAAGGAGCTGTGAGGCTATTGCTGCATATCCTATTAAGTTAGTGACTGACATTTAAAAATATTTAGTTGGCAGAAGTAGCAGATAACGATCAGTATTTCCAGAGATTAGTGGCGACTTAAAAGGCATATAGTTATTTCATTAGTTAGTTTCAACGCTTTGGGAGATCTTTTATTCTCATACCTCCGTTAGCCTTTTTTTCTTGTTCATGAAGTTGAGTCAGCAAGAGAAGCATATTCAAATTAGACTTGTCATACAGAAAAAAAAAAATCTGACTTTGTCAGGGTGGGTGGAGGGGAGAAAAGCAACTTTTTGTCAGTCTTTTGTATTTCAGCAGCTGGATTCATTGCTACCATGGTAACGGACCACATGATGAGGTGTATTAGATTGCTGCGTGTTGAGCACAAGGGGAAGAATGAACACAGCTTTTTATTGAAGTTAAAGGTTACTTTGGAGTTTCTTCTGCGGAAATGTGTAAGGTCAAATACTATAGTTTTCAGCCTATGTAGTACTTCAGAGGAGAAATTAGGAGCATGTTGGTGTATTTAACTACAAAACCAGGTAAGGCACAATTGAATCTATGAAACTGAACTCTCTGACTTGTGTCGCAGTGGCATAACTTGCTGGGTGGAATTTCACTGTCGCCGCCACCCCCACCCCCACATGGGCACGGGACAAATTTCTCCTGCCCACCCCCAACTCCTCCACCTCTGGTTTCAACTGTTTTTCTTTTGAAAGTCTGAAACGTTGTAAATTTGTATAATTCCATGGTACTGTGTGTGAGCGTGTGTGTATGTTAAGTCAAAGAAAGAAAACTGCAGAGGAAATCATCAGAATGCAATCATCAGGGTCTTCAGATCAATGTGAAACTGAGCAGAGTGTTTTCTTGTTTCATTCTTTGAAAATGGTCCGCTTTTCTAAGCGAACACCTTATTAGTGGCATGAGTCCAAAGCTACTTGTCTCTTCTACAAATTAAGCAGTAGGACAAAGTTCTCCAGCATGTTATTTAGTGTTTTTATTGCATGTGCGCTTTTTTTCTCTTCTTTCATCATATTATTGCCAGCCTCCTCCAACATGAATAGTTCAGTGTTACCTAAAATTTTTACAACATATTTTAATTCCGTTAACATTCTATTCTTTCAGGCATTGTGGCTGTATGTGTATCAGAGGATTTAAAAATAGAAGTAAATACAATATGGGTGAGTGTAAAATGAACTCTTTTGCTCAGAGGTTGGTGAGAACCGAATGTAAACAATTCAGTGTGGCTTTGTGAAGCATCAGTTCCCAGAGAGCAAAAGCCTCCTCTTGGGTTGTTTACATATCACCCTAGCAGTTTGTTTCAAAATGGGAGGCTTGGAGCACCCAAAGCAAGTTAAAGGAGAAGAAAATTTCTTTATCAATAAGTTATTTCAGTTCCTTGTTCATGGTTTCTGTGACATCTGATGTTTGACTTTCTCCTAAGATATTAGGATTTCCTTTAATTTTTAGCCAAGAGCTAACCTATGTAACTTCTGTCCTTTTAAAACAAAGTTGTCTTAGCAGGTTTTAGAGATAAAACCTGACTAAATAGTAGCAGAGCTCCACCGTTTTTCTGGTGTATTCACTGCTCACCTGCAATGTTTTCATATGGGAAAATATTTTGAAAAACACTTTCTTAGTGAACCAAAATCAATTATTTGCCATTAACTGGCACTAATTAGGATTAAAACCAGTAAATTATCCCAATTTTGTCACACAACACACGTTCTTGGAAAAGTGAAACTTCAGTTTTTTTAAAGTTTGTTAATTTATGCTTTGTGATTCTCATTGCTATTTCTTAAATCTCTCTAGTTTTCATATGGTCATAGCCATCTTCTAAGTTTGAGCAAGGAGTTATAATCATTATTCAAAACACTGCTTTACCATAATTTCAATTAAAGAGGACTGTTTCCATGATAACAAATATCAGAAGCATTATAATAACACCTAACATTTGTAAAATGTTCACGCTTGTAGCCCATTCTTTTCTTTTTCCCTCTGATATGTGAATACAGAATGAGCTATTAGCATGTCCTCCAAAGCATAAAATATTTTCACGAGCAGAAGTTGTTATTACTAGAGAATAGGGAGTTCCCCAAATTGGTGAAAAATGAAACCTGGTAAAATATTTTAAAGTATGAAATTCTCCAAACTGACAATGTCTGAGGTAGAAAATAGTCAGTTTTTAATAAAAGAAAAATAAAAAAGGGAGGAAGAGAAAGAAGAAAAGAGACAGAGACACAGAGAGAGAACACAAGATATAAAAAGATAGACAAAAGGTAAAGATAAAAGCATAAATGATCTGTTACCCACGTTTACTTCTTTCCTCTAATGGCTTTAACCTCTGTATATCAGAGAAAAGAGATAGTGTGGATAAGGCGAAATTACTAGAAAAGTATCATTTCATTGTTTCATATTTAAAATACACAATAAGGCATAGTTAGTTCCTTTCTATTAATTGAAGTGAAAAAAAAATTCTATAATTGAATTTATTTCTGTTCTTGTAGTGGTGGGCTATTAGCTAGCTTACACATTAAAGCTGGAAGTGTGTAAAACCAATATATACCCAAACTTCTGTGATCTTTATTCAGCTGACTTTAGGACCTATGTACACATCCATTTCTGAAGTCATTGTCACTGAGAGATCATATGATGGAAGCTTTATAGTTAGTTTGGTATTTACACTCTTAAGAAGCAAAATTGATTTTTGGTATATTTGTTTTAAATAAGAAATTTTGCCAAGATGTTTGAATTGAATAATATTTGTGTCAGTTCTTGTGTAAATCATGCCTTATTGTAAATTCTGAATGGTTGGTAGTGATCCTAAACAATTTAGCTTTAATTTTAAGAGCTCTCTAGACTCTCAGACAGATAGATAATTATCTGCAAACATTTGCCTCCTTTAAAGAGGTAGATGCTTAACAGTCATGATAAAGAAGAACTGTATTGTCTAATACAGTACAGTCTCTTCTAGAAAATGAATATCAGGTTTTGAAACCCAAGACAATATTTCTAAAATGAGTGAAGATCAAGCCAATGAATGATGACTCAATATCATTTAGAGATTTTATTATCAGAAATTATTTTTGAACCTATCATTTTATTAAAATGGATTTTATTACTGACCACTATGTCATTTTTTTGGTATGAAAACAGCTGGGCTTTTTTTTTTTTTAAAGATTTCTAAAACTTTTCAAATGAAAAGGAAAGTAATGGTACTATGATCAAAATGATAATGATGTTGGCGTTAATGATTAATTTGGAGACTAATACTTTAAAAACTCTTGGCTCTTTATGTAGTAAAAGGCCAATATTTTTAGAAAGAAAGTGGAAATTTCCAATGAGTAATATAATTCTCAGAAATTAACTCTTGAATTTAATTAATTCCATTGATAGCATTTATAAATCACTAACAATAGATGTACTTGTTATGTTCTTATCAGACCCTATTATAAAATATGTCGGCTGCATTCAATAAGTATTAGGTGCTTTCATAAAAAATGATTAAACTTATCATGAATTGTTCAATGCGTGAGCCATCTCTGATAAGAAAAGAGTAAACTCATTTCTAGGAAAGAATGATTAGTTATATTTTTAGTATATAAAGGGGTTACCAACTGGTTTCACTTTCATGATAATATTAACTTAATACATTTTAGAGTGATATTATTGTAGTAATTTACATAATAATTTATGAAATATTCACCGCTGATACCATTTCAATATTTTAATTATGTTTTTTAATTTAAAATAATTTTTGAATAAAACAATATTTTATGTTTGAAACCCATTCATTTTGATATGTTTGGGGAAAAATTTACTCAGAAAAATAATTTACCTTTACCCATTTCTCACAAGAAAGAAAAATACTAGATGAATTGGCAATTCCAGTATAAAATGTGAACCTATAAAGGTAGTGGAAGAAAATATAGTACTTGAGATAGAAAAGCATGTCCTCACAGGCAGAAACCATAAGGAGTGATAATATGAAAACTTATTTCTTCAGGAATGCTATAAGTAAAATTAAGAGACAAATAGCAAATTAGAAACAATATTTGCAACACATATGAAAGAGAAAAAGTAAATATCCATAATATATATAATTAGGCATCATACATCCATAAGGGAAAAAAACCCTACTAATTGTTTTTAAAATATCTGAAAATCAAACAAACAAATGCCATTTTAATAGTTAGCAAATGTTTTTGAAAGGGAGAAGCAAAAGAAGGAGGGAAAGGAAGTGGATGGGTAGATAATACCTGGTTTACGGAGGGTGTAGAAAATTAGAACTCTCATACACTGCTCTTGATAGCATAGGTTTGTTTTGGGGCTTGAGGGGTTTTGGTTGTTTGTTTGTCGTCCTTGCAATGTGTGGCAGACTGAAATTTCATATCCGTGGACCTAACAATTCTGCTATTAGAAATTCATTCTGGAAAAAAATCTTCTGGGAAATGTAACACACCAGCTCATATCTCTGCTCTAGAAACTGTAAAGCTGTAAGAAGTCACAGACATGACTATATGCTTACCTAACTGTTCCACTTCCTCACTCTTTAGATCGAACATGTATAAGACAGCATGGTGTAGGAAAAGAGTCTTGGCTTACGAATCAGAATGCCTGGGTCCTGCTATGCACTAGATGAGTTAACATAAAGTATACACATATGTTGGGTTATTAAAATACTAACATTAAAAAGTTTAAAAGTCTATGAATCCTGACCAGTTATGATGGCTCATGCCTGTAATCCCAGCACTTTGGGAGGCTGAGGCAGGAGGATTGTCTGAGCCCAGGAATTCTAGACCAGCCTAGGCAATATAGCGAGACTTCATCTCTACAAAAAAATTTTTTAAATTAGCTGAGCATGTTGGCATGTACCTGTAGTCCCAGCTTCTTGGGTGGCTGAGATGGAAAGATTGCTTGAACCCAGGAGGTAGAGTCTACCATGAGCTGTGATCGTGTCATAGCACTCTAGTCTGGGCAACAGAGTGAGACCCTGATCAAAAAAAAAAAAAAAAAGTTTATATATCCTTTTATCCATCTATGTGTGTTTGTTTCACAACTGATGTTGCAAATAAGAAGTCTCATATCAACTGGGATTTGAGAGGGAAAATACATTTTTTATAGTTTTGCTGAAATGAAATGCCAAATAGTAAAATCTGGGGTGGCTTGTCTTTGATAGAAAACAATAAAACATTTTGACTAGGATCTACTTCCACATTACTATTGTTTGAAATTTATTCAAAAGAAATTTCTCCTCATATAAGAATGGGCAGAGGATAATTGGACTTGAAAGTAACCTTACATTTAGGAGAAGTGGAGAGGCAGAACTTCAGAGCAGTACTGTTCAATAAAAACTTTTGAGAGCCTAGAAATATTCACTATCTGCACTGACCAATACAGTAACTACTAACCACATGTAGCTATCAAGCACTTGAAAGGTGGCTACAGGCCGGGCTCGGTGGCTCAGCCTGTAATCCTGCGCTTTGAGAGGCTGAGGTGAGTGAATTGCTTGAGCCCGCGGGTTCGAGACCCGCCTGGGCAA